GAAACCGGGATGTTGCGGCGCAGGCCCCCAAGCTGGCGCAAAAAGTCGTTCTGGACAACTTGGGGTGGCGGCCAGGGCGGCGTCGACGGTGCGCATCAGGTCGGGTGCCCAAACCTCAGTGCAGTAGTTGAGGGTGGGCTCGACGAGGATGCGGAAAAGGCGGCAGCGGAGGGAGAAGTCGGCTATGCCGCGCTGCTTGCAGCGGGCCAGTAGGCGCTTCCGCCGCGCGTCCGGGCGGCGGAACGCGACCACCCGAAGACCCCACCACGGAAACCACGACACGTCCCAGTGAGGGTCTATGAACTTAAGCCCCCTCCACCCCTGCGCCCGCGGCGCCATCTTCCACCGCGCGGCGGTGCACTTAAGGCCAAACACCACAACCTCGGTTTTGGAAACGTTGACGCGAAGGTGGTGGGTATTGCAAAACGACTGCAGGGCATCCAGCTGGGCCCGCAGGCCCTCTGCATCTGAGGCGTACCGAGAGGCAGTTTGGCAGCGTCAACTTTTGGCGTGACAAGCTCGTTGCACAGCAGCGTGTGCCCATCAGCGTGTGCCAGCGGGGTCAAACGCCACCGGCCGCAGCCACCCGCGCGCCGCCTCGGCAGCGCTGTCCGTGAGCGCGGCGGCACACGCCGCTACGGAGCCCCCGGGCGGCGCCTTCATCACGCCGGCCTCGATTTCGTTCAGCAGCCTCAGCAGCACGCGCCACTCGCCAGAGCTGGCCACGCCGTCCTCGCAAAAGTCAACCTTGGGGGTGGGTGGGTGGTGGGTCCGGAGCAAAGGGGGGCCTGGGAACGCGGCAGGCGCGGTTAGAACCGGCCGGTTCAAGAGTGCGGTCGCGGATGGTGGAAGGCCAGGCAGCACCCACCGATTCACTTGCCCACATCAGAACGCACCCCCGCTTGCCTTGGCCTCTGTAGCTGGTGGTGGGGCAGGAACTTTACAGGCATGGTTACATACGCACACAATCTCACGATTTTACGCAGAATTAGATGGCTTTTGTTGATTAGGGGATGGCGAGTAACAAAACATTTGCCCTTGCCGGGAATCGAACACGGAACCTCACGCTTACGAAGCGTGCGCTCTAACCAATTGAGCTACAAGGGCGAATTCCTCCTTCCGCTTTGCATCTGCTCGTACATATTGGCCGTCCGGTCTCAATCAAACGCGCTATCAAGCCATCCGCGCCTCGCAGGCGCCGGTGGCGTTGACCGCCTGCCATGCGGCGGTTGACGGCTCGTTTTCCTTGACCCTGGTTGGAACACGGTGGCTACAGGATCCTGCGATGCCGCAGGCGGAGTAAC